GTGTAACAATTCAGTTTAACATCCAGGCATCCATGAAAACGGAATTTATGACATTTAACGGAGTTAGAAGTTAGCAGGAAGTTAGCTTGCTAGCTTCGATCTAAATACAATATAGCATGTCCTGACTGCGGGGTTTTGGAAACAAATTAAAACGTACAGCTCTGTTATCACTTCCAACATAAATGAAGACAGAAAACTAAACAGCAGTGACGTTTGTAGGGTTACTGAAGTTTGGCTAGCTGGTATATAATGATGTGCTACGTGACCGCTAGCGACATAGCTATGTTAGCATAATATAAACAAGCTAACTTTTTTTCCACTCGATAAAAGTTAATGTGAGTCTTCTCGGTGGTCAGAAACAAATGTAATCGCATGGCAGGATGTTGTAAAAGGACTTCAGCCAGGAGAACAACTGGGATAATCCATCCACAATACAAGGTTAGTCATTCATATATTGCTACATTGGCTGGGCTGTAGTTACATCCTAAGGTTTTAAAAACTGAGCGTAAATAAATGATTAGCGGTAATAAAAGCCGAGGGAGGTCAACAGTGATCACTGACTGTTTTAGGAGCTTTTTGAGATTAAATAGAAGAAAATACATAACATTAAACATGTTAACAACACAAAAGCCATATTAAACGCAGACTACTTTAGGCCCGGAAGTAGGATTCGTCACGTCATCACTTAATGACCGGATAAAATCAAAATTTATGGCATAAAAATACATTTAAATTTAAATAGGTGAAGCAGAGATGGGAGAATCTGAATGTAAAGAAAATATCACCCTATACGTTGGCCAAATATTGGTATGGAGATCAGTCTTAAGACTCTTATATCCGCCACGCACTAATTTATCTGCATTTAATGTAGAAGAATATCTTCAGTGTTGAAAAATTTATTATTTTGTGGTCTAATGACTGATAACTTGTACATTTTCACAAATTCTACACTGTCTAAATGAATGCAGAGTGTAAGTGCAGATAATGTACAACATGGAAGTGTCTTAAAGGATGTATACACATTGTGACACAGTGACTAAGTTGGCTGTAGGTGTCCACTGTCACTTAAAAGGTGACAGTGGTTGATTCTGTTCATCTGGACGTAGCGTTTTCAGTGGGAGAAACGTTTCATCACTTCCAAGTAACTTCTTCAGTCTACTGGTACTTGTTAGGCATTTTTGTAGCTCAAAATTAGCTAACAGCGACTTTTTTCATTATGGTCATGCAGCTAATTTTATGATCAACATAGATTCAGAAATGAAAAGGTTTGCTATGAGAAGCTGACAAGCATTAATGAAGTTTGGCATTTTAGTAACACAGCACATTTATTTGGCTGAGACAATGAAAGTTATATGAGAAGATTAGTAGCATAGACTCGGATCATTGTTTTGTATATGATGCTAGAGGTAGCAGCTGGTTAGCTTGGCGGATCGAAAAAAGAAAAAAAAAAGGAAGTAAACCTGTGTCTCCAACGCTTTCTAATTAAACAAGTTATGTTTGTTGATTGCTTAATTTGTACAAAAACAAGGGTTTGCAATTTAGCAGAGGTAGGTTATGTGCCAGATTGTTATTGCGCTGGGACTAGTAATTTCCTCATCTCAACTGGTTGTCTCAAGCTAAGAAAAAGAAACCTATAAAATTCCATCCTAGTCAGCTAAGTCTATATCTTTTTTTTTGTCCTCCAGTGCACTTGGACTAAACTTATTTGTGGCTGGTGCTATTCTCAGCTGAGCTTTGTATGCTTGTGAAACAGGATGTTCCAAGCAGGTTGCATTTTTGATAAATAAGCCCTTATGAGGAAGGACATTAGGTCCTGCCATCTTAACCCGTGAGTTTTCTTATTGTCAGATTTATGCACATTCTTAATTTTCTGTTATTGATGTTGGTGTAAGCTGAGACAGACCCATAGAACTTTCACTTTCCAGACAGCTGTTTCCACTGTTTGTAAATGTATGTATAAAGTATGTGTGCATGTTCCTGAGTGTGACTGTACGTGTGTGTGTATGTGTGTGTGTGCTAAGCGTACCATACCCTTGTAGTTCTCAGCTTCTCAAAAGCTCTGATTTCAGTTCACATGAGCATAGTCTGCTCAAACTACTGTCTGCCAGACTCGGTGCTGTGCATTTCCCTTCACAGCTCGCACACAAATCATATGCAAAGGCCCCGCATTGATTATTTTTTCCATGTGAAGGGTCTTCACTGCCACCACACAGGCAAATGTGCTGGCCAATGGTGACTTGCTCTCAGGGTTCATCGAGTACTTCATTTTGCGAAGAGCAAGGTCGCTGAGTTTTTATGTAAATTCAAGTGCCTTCTGCCCCACGCCAGTTTGAATTTTGATTTGCATGTGGCTCCACAGAGCTGTTGGATGAGGGACAGATCAAGCCCAAAAGAGGAAAACAATTTTAGGTGTGGATGTGGTTTTCACTCTTCAGTCGGTTGCTGACAAAGACTATCGTGATCTTCCAGTCAAAGTGCTGCTATGACGACAGAGGAAAAGATTTATTCTATTGTCAAGCATTTGCCTAATTTGCTGTTTATTTTGTTGTGTAATCCTAATATTCAGTCAATGAAATATAGAAATGTCTCCTCGCTTTATCACGATGGTTGGGGAACACTGACAGCGGTACATCAGCCTGTTTTTCTCAGTGCAAGCCTCTGTCATGCTGTTGATTCAGGCACACGTGTAAACACAACAACACAGTAACACTCTGAACACTTTAATGTGAACATTATGGTGAAATATTTATCAGGTGTGTAATTGATGTACTCGTTTTTTTGTAAAGGCTAATCACTATTTAAATAAAGTTCATGTACTCACAAAAACTGTACGTCTGCACTTTTGTCACGAGTATTTAATGAGGGGCCTCCATGGTTAACATGTTGAGTCAGTAGTTGTGTGTTTCGCGATTTGCTATCTCTGTGACCTTGATGCTGTTAAAGACAGCCCGTGAGTCTTCATGCAGGTGGCTTCCATCTGCTGTCAAAGCAGAACGGCTCTCTGTGACATCACTGAGTGGTTTTGGCTGCTATCTGTTGCAGCGAGAGCACTTATGAGATGACAAAGAGAAGTTAGCTTGTCTTCATCGGCTCTCTGCGAGATCTAGAATTCTGAGACCCTGAACAATTATTCTCTGTCATGTCTTAAAGACCTCACGCTAACATTTTATCCCAATGAAGTACTTCACTCTTAGACTGCAGGCTTACTCGTGGTTCCAAAAGTAGGATGGGAGTTTAAGACTTCAGCTATTAGGCCCCTCTCCTGTCAGGAGACAGAAACCCTCTCTACTTTTAAGATTAAGCTTAAAACTTTCCTTTTTGATCAATCATATAGTTAGGGCTGGATCACATAACCCTAAGCCAACCTTTCGTTATTTTTTCTTTTTGTCAGCTAGAGGACCTCACATGATGCCATTAGGACCCTTTCTTCACTCCCCTGTCTTTCACTCCCCATTCATCTTATTACCTTCATTCCCCAACCACTCAGAGTGAACGCCTGCCTGTCCTAACATTTCTTCTTCCTACACTCTGTTGTTGGATGAACACAATTTAATCATGGCACCTTTTTCCACGTGATTTAACCAAGTACAATAACCCATTTTTGACCATGTCAAACCAACACATTTGGCATTTGGTGGTTTAATGTAACCAGATTACGTATCAACGTAGTATACTTACATTGACTTGAAGTGATTTATTGAAGTACGTAAAGTGAAATTTGTTTTAATTCATTCTACACAAGTGAAAAACTTTAGGAAAACACAATGAAAACTTGTTGTTTGAACAACTACTTTGTTAATCAAGGCAATTACTGCTAGTCTTGCTTAATGAACCAATATGGGGTTGTTGATTTCATAGAGACAAACAACCATTTGCACTTACATTCATGGGTAATTTATAATCACCAGTTAACCTAACTCTAAATACACACTGCAAACCAGCCAGATTGTGGATTTGAACGCAGGCCCTTCTGGCTGTGAGGCAACAGCACTAACCATCACACCACCAAGCTGTCAAACCAGGCTTAACAAAAGTAGGAAAGCTATGATTACAAGGCTTGATGCAGAATTTTCTGTACGTTTTTGTCCTTGACAGGTTAAACCACAATAAATAGCAATAGCATACACGTGGTGTGGGTGTAGTTGTCTGCCTCTTAAAACTCCAGCGATTTTCCTGTAGTTTGACATCTAATGTGATCTTGTGAATTTGTCGACTCCAGGCAACTAACCACTCTTACTAGATTGTATCATGTCATCTTAAGAATAACAAATTAAGTTGCTGAATTTCATGCAGATGCTACATGTTTTAATTATGTTCACCATAGAAACATGAAATTATTTAGTTCAAATTACAAGTTTGAATCTTGTACATGTAACAACCACCCAATTTCATTTTCTTATAGGAAGGACTTTTTCTCCTTCTCATTGTTGCTTTGCGCTTGCCCACAGGTGATTTTTCCCTGTTGCTGGGTCTTGACCTTATAAAATAAAATGCTTGGAGATCACTGTTATTGTGAGATTTGATAATAGAGGACAGGGTAAATCAGGTTTTCTGCAGAATGTGATAAAATCCAAAGACCATGTTTTCTTCACACTTTCAGACCTGCAGTTTTGCTTGCTGGGGTCAGTATGAACAAGCTACAACTGCAAAGTCAATAAAGTATGCACCAAAATATAGATTATTTCAATTCAAAACGGTATGACTATATTGAATGTTTTCACTTGGGGAAATGCAGGCTATGGTATTATAAAACTGTCTATTCATACAGTAATGTGCAAAAGTCTTGACCCATCATTTCATAGGTCATTGTTAAGTGGGTTAAAACTTTAGAAGCTAGAAAAATCTGGCTTCTATGAAGAAAAACATAAAGAAATGAGGGATGGCTTGAGACTTTTGCAAAGACAGTCTAAATCTCCAAGGTTTGAACATTGTCAAGTTCACTCATTCATTCTGAAAAGCTTTCAAGTCATTCACATCACATGAATGATGACGTGCACAGATTGATTGTATCGTAGTTTTAATGGCATTATCTGTTTATCACTTACGGTCATGTCCTTCGGCTGAACATTTAATGCACGCTACTTCCAACAGGTACTACATTTCATCTTTAATACTTTGTATTAATAGCCAGGTGTACTCAAAGCCTAGTGTATAGTATTAAACCAACAGTAGTCTATAAGCTAGAGCATTAAAACACACCTCGAAACATCACATATGTTGAAGGCTTTTCATTTTTCAATGCATACAGTACAAAACACTGATAACAAAGCAATCCGAGCAAAGTCAAAATCACTAAAGCATAGTCACCGACGCTCCAGATGACGCCTACTGAATATCTAAGTGGGAAAAGGGAGTCTTATCTCCACTCACTCCCCTCTAAAAGTAATCTGCAGCTACATCTTACGCAGCAAGCTGGATTCTATCATTTAATCCTTTTTGGTGGTTAAGACTTCAAATGTCAGTGTCATTGTACGAACTAAAGACACATACGCACAGACAGATAATACATAGCTTACTCTGATGTTCTTTGTTCCCAACCTCTTTACAGTTTTTCTTTTTCCTTTTATGTTTTGGGATGTTTGATGCCACTTTAGATCTGGGCCATGTCAGGGAGCTCCAGCTCTGTGAGGTACTGGCTGCAGTTGGGGTCACCCCTCACGGTCGGAGCTGATGGGATGGGTCGGCCAGTGTGTGGGTCGACACACCAGCACTCCCCCCTCTGACCATGGAGAGACATCTTGCACTGAAAAACAGAATTTATGTTGTAGTTTTGTTACCTGCACGTTTCATGCTAAGCTAGCAGTCTTACTATACATGTTTTATAAAGTGCATGCACAAAAAGAAGCTTATCAGGTCACAATGTGCAGTCCCCCCTTTTTAGTAATTCGTGTTCAATTAGTTGAATTGTTATTATCATTATAATAATTATTAATACTGTTATTATTATTACTATTATTATTATCAGTATTATGATGAGAAAATGACTGTAGGATTTGATATGTCAGTGCAACGGATTATTTTGTTAGAGATGGTGGTTGCGATGCCCACCTCCCCTCTCCATACCTGCATATTATCAGTTGGGTATAACCTCTGGGCTTACCGCCCTCTTTCCCAAAAAGCCCAGAGTCACCTGTTTTAAGTTATACTGCCCCCTCTTGTCGCAGTTGGGGATATGCAGGGCATACAGGTCTTCCAGAGGACCTCTGTTATCTCTGAAGGGCATCTTGGATATCCGCTCGAGGACCTGGTCGAGTTCCTGCTGACACTGAGTCTTTAGAAAAAAGCAAACATAAGAACAACAAGCCTGTCACGTCCACAGCAAGGCTGTTATAATTAACTATAACTACATGTGAGTCACCTGCGTTTACAAAGGGCTGTTTTTTTCTCTTTCTTCTCGTAATAACAATTTGGATTTTCCTAAATCTTGGCTATTCACAGAATAATATTCAGAAAAACTGAAACTAACATTTTTGTGTTATTGTAAGGTCTTTACCTTATACCCTGCAATAAAAAGCACCTTGAGAATCAAAATCAGAATACTTTATTAATATCTGAGGAAATTATGTGGTCACAGTTGCTCTGAGACAGTAAGAACAGTAAGTAGATAAACTAAATTAAATAATACAATATATTGCAAAGTTACAAAACACAACAAAATAGCTCAAATTATAAATATCCCAGTATGTTACACAAATTAAATACATATGGTTGACATTGAGGTGTCCCTCTTGTCATACTGCACTTTGTTATTTTGTCTCTCGAGGATGTGAAAATAAACTATTGCGGTGTGTACGTGTGCTTTAGATGGTGATGAGGTGACTGTTGTTAGGATTTGACAGTGTATCAGTAAAATTTAATTTTCAAATAAAATAACCAAACAAAACTGAAACTGTGAAGCCAAATCACAAAAATGTACAGCTCGCTACTGCAAAATTGGCTCTACAGACATATTTTAAACAATTTGCACTATATGAATACTGCACCTTGTTTCATTTATATAGAAGTAAGAGTAGTTTATTGTTATATGCACACATTAATATAGACAGGGTGTTTATTCTGTAGAGTGCAATCCTTATTTTCTTTGACTCGTTTCAGATAGCAGTCATAGAAAGATTTGAATACAATAAATAAATAAAAATACTAAATTATTATAAATAAAGTTAAATAATACAAATAATAATAAGAAGAAGAAGAAGAAGAAGAAATAAAATAAAAACTAATAAATAAAACCAGGATTCGAAAACACTAGAGAGACAGTACAAGTAATACATGTACAAACAATACAAACAATGACTTGAAGAGACTTGAGTTGTATTCATACTTTTATACTTACATCGTATATTTGTATTGTCTTTTATAATATTATTCAATCGCTTTTTACCGTTAGGGAGTTTTGTTTTCAGTTTTACTGTATGAAAGGAGAAGTTGACCTTGACTCTTGTTGTACTGGAAAGAAAGGAATTTAATTCAATTCAACTGCAAAGCTGTAGCAAGTGTAACCCATGGGCATCCATAGTGGCATTTAGGTGTGCTGGAGCTTCAAGACTCCCTCTGAAAATCAAACATCTGTTCATTCATGTGTCTTCTTAATTTTCACATTTTAAAAATTTATTTTAAAATCAATTAAAACCAATTTCTCCAATGCACATCAACAGCAGGTTTGCAAAGCTATTGGCACATTTTTGACTCGGTTCAGCTACAGCTAAAGGTCTTTCTGTTTATGAAAGTCACTTGTGAATAATGACTCATCGGTAACCCCCAGAAATCTTGTTGAGAAGTTCTAAAGTTCCCAGCAAAGCAATTTAACCTTTACCTGATTGTTTTAGTGGACAGATGATGGATAAAAATTATGAGGTTTTCTCAAAAATCTCACTCAGAGCAGGTCAGGGGTATTAAAGGTTGAGGGTTCGTCCATTTAAATATCTTCAATGCCGTCTAAAAGAACCTGCAGCACCAGAGGGGGGCAGCACATGTCTGTGAAGTCTGAGTGCAGCTGTTCCTCCACACTCAAAGGGACTACAGTAGATGTACTCAGTTTATACAATCTTATATCAACACTAAGCTCTGTTGCAGGGCATAATTCAGGCGATTTCACCTCAGCGTCTACATCTGATATGTGGCGCAAGCTTCATGTGATCCCAGTGTCTCAAAGCAAAATCTTACCAGACTTTAAAATAACCGATTATTGTAATGATCCCATGTGTTATTAAAATGTAACACATCAGTGTAAATACAGCTGCTAAAATCACATGAGTGTGACTTTGTTAAACCTCTACAGAAATTAAACAGACACGCCACTTCGCCTTGCCTGTTTGGGCCGAGTAGGTTTCACCTCTTCCACCTTATTGGTTTTCATCTTGGTCTTCATCTCCTGTCTGTGTTGGCGTACGGCGCTTTCCTTGGGCCCCAGCCAGGCGGCCTCTTTATTGGGCTTTCGGATACCGGGAATCTCGCTCGCGCCATGCTCCGGCTGCAGCTCCACAGCCTCTCCTGTGGATGATGGGTAATGACACAAAAGCAGCAGATTAAGATTTCATTCTAATGCTAAAAAGATCAAAAAGCTATAAAGAATTTTGTTTTGTTTTTTTGGTTGTTTGTTTTTTAACGGCTCAGTAACATTGTGCGGTTTAGCCAGGAAAGTTCTTATGGCTATTGTTCGGGGACACGTTGCTGACAACCTAGAGTGTCTTTGCACTCTCAACCACTCTGTTTCCCATTAACTGTCATTCTCTTGGTAATGAAACGGAATTTTCAGCTGCTGGAAGTGACAGGAGACACACTCCAGATTGCACAGATCATTTTTCAGAGCAACAAAAGAGGTGCTTAGAAAACCACTGATAGCCTTTTTACAGGGCAGAGGTGAGATTGACCTCCGAGACTGAGCTCCATCAGGAATAAATAATAACAGCATGTCCTTTGGAGTAACAGCAATAATTCCTAGCCAGATGGTGGAGTTACACCCAGGACCCATGTATTAACAAAAGTCTAAATTGTGAATTGTTACTAGGACGTGTTGAAACAAGACTTCAAAGCTAAAAACGGTTGTAAGATACAATGTCATCTCAAACAGTGTCTTGGTGACATAAATCAGCCTAATATCCATGTAAAGTAACTAATTTCAGAATTTATAGACTAAATAGGAAATAAAAGACATATATTCGCAAAAAACATTTTTCATTGTGTATGTAAGACATAGTTAGATAGACAATAAACACAATGTATCATTGTGGAGTTAAAGCTTCAGACTCCTCCAAATCTTTCACAGTGCATAATATGGTCATCTCAAGCACACGGCTCAGTTGAGCCAATCAGGGAAAGAAATGCTCTTAAAGGTAGGTTGGCAATGTTGAAGATGTAAAACAGCTTGTTTCAGACGATATATGATAAAAAACTGTAAAGTGTGACTCATGCAAATCTACCCTTGTATAAATCATGAAACTATGAAGCACAAGGTTCAAGATAATCTGTTTGGTGTTTAAAAGCATTAAAATGTTTTAAATGCATTTTTTCCACTTAATTTTGATATAGACACAGAACATACTGTATGTAACACATCTGTGTTTGTGGCTGTTTTTTTATTGTTTGTTTTACTTTTTCTTGCATTTTTACAAGCACGTCTCCTGAGCTTGTGATAGTTTATTTAACGCATTTGACTTTTCCACAAAATGTGTCCAAACCACTGTGAAATGTATCAGCACAATCAGTGAGTCACTGGAAATATTTCCTTTCTCTTAAGAGAGAAGAAACCCCACATTCTTGACCAGCTTATGAGCTGAGAAATGTTGGCTACTACTGAACTTGCGTCATGATGAAGTTTCCATGGTGGCTTTACAGTGTGAATCAGTCCCACGAGCAAATGTTAATGATGCTGATAAAAAAATACAATGGATATAATCAAATATGTAAAGTTACACTGTATGGACAAAAGAGATGGGCCGCACTTGTCACAGGTGCATACAATCAACCATGCAGTATACATTTGTGACAGAATGGGTTGTTCTAAAGATCTCACTGAATTCGAGTGTGATACTATGAAAGTTTTTCCCTCCTTGTTATTCCAAGATCAGCTGTTAGTGGTATTACTGCAAAGAGGAAGCATTTGGGACACATAGCAACTCAGTCATGAAGTAGCAGACCAAGCAAAGTTACAGAGCGGGGTCACTGAGTGCGTAAAAATCAACAACACTCTTTTCTGTCAGTAACTGCATGGCTTCAAACCTCCACTGACATTAACATCAGCACAAAAACTGTGAGCGGACAGCTTCATGGCAGGGTTTCCATGGCTGAGCAGCTTCCTGTAGGTGTGATGTGTACGAAAACCAGTGCTTTTGTCCATGTAGTGAAGGGGTGTCAAACATATGGCCCATTGGCCATATTTGGAAAAATGTGGAAATTTTAAAGAAGGACACCATAAAAATTGGACCTCTAACAGTATTTTCACGAGTTTAACTGTTTTCTTGCTGACAAAGATTTAACCTACAGCTTGTCATACAGCAGAGTGAAAACTTTTTTTTATTGTTAGTGTTCAATATAAGACTGAAATGTTTCTTTTTTTTAATCTTTACAATATCATTTTCTTTTTTTTATTGAAAATGGAATATTTTCTGTGCATTAAGTACATTTAATTTACACAATAAATTTATTTTTCATTTCCATGACAGTGTAAGCCCAGAGAGTCTTGCCGATGGGTCTTTGACTTACTGCAGCAGCCTTTCTTTTTTCAATTTGGAGAAACTGAAATGTATCGCCAGAACTGCAATATTTGTTTCTAACCCATTTAAAGGCTAAACGGTGAAATAATTGACAGAAATTTCTTTCTTAAAATGTTTTTTAATCAGGTGTTCTAGCAAATTAAAAAATAACTAATTAAATATTAAGTCAAATACCTGAGTTTTTGTTTGCGTCACATCTCCCACATTCATTTTTTTTTATTGCTTAAAAACATTTTATTGTGCAATTTTCTTTTTAGGTTTTTCTATGAAAAAAATCACATTGATGTTTGAGAAGTCTCGAAAACTCACAAAAACTCATGTATCAAATGTGATTCACGAAGCGTTCAGAGGTTTAGACATCTCAGGGATTTCCCTTACGTAAAGTAAGGGAAACATTTTTTAAGCTTTACTGCTCCAGCCCACTTAGGATTCAAGTGGGCTGTACATGGCCAGTGATTTAAATGGATTTGACACCCTTGATATTCTACTACTAATGCTACTAGTTGTACTGGTGCTACTTGTATTACTTCTACTTTGCCAAGGATTTATCATGGTGATTTTGACTGAAATTAGAAGATCCTAGTAAAACCACTTACCCCTGCGTCCATACACATCAAGCTTTTTTTTTTTTGGTTGTGCACAAGAGACCTACACAATATTAAGCAGGTGAGTTTAACAGTGGAGCTAATCGGTCAATACATATGTTTTTTAAAGCCTTGATTTGAGTTGGCAGCCCAAACATATAATACATAGAAGTCTATTTTATGCCACTACATTGATTTAATTGTGGTGTCTTTAAAATGAACTCCAAAATACAGATTTTCAGTTTTCTTTCTAAATGAAATCACCAAGCATGCTACTTGAATAAAAATGTGATCATCTACAGGAGGAACTGCTGTTGGCTTTTCCCTCCCAAAGAAAATGAGTGGCTTAATTCCTGAGAAGAATCAAGCCAAAGTTCAACAACGTTTTTTTCTTTTGTTTTTAATTTGGAGTGACTGTTGCTCAGGAGGCAGAGCAAATCAGCTGCCAACTGAAAAGTTGGTGGTTTAATGCCCAGCTCCTCTAGTCCGCATGTTGAAGTATCTGTGGGCAAGGTACTAAAACCTGAGTTTTGCCCATTGAAGTGAAAGTTAACCTAAAAGTGCTCGTATGAATGGGCTTGTAGTAAGAGAGCACTTTCAGTGCACAAATAGAGTTGAAAAGTTCTATGTAAGTACCAGTCCAAATATATGACTAGTAGTTAAGTGCTTAGCTAATAGTGTTTACTGATGAACATTTAAATATCCAAGTAAATGAGAAAGTGGGTCATTAAATAAAGTAGAATAAATGGAGTAGCACGTAAAATTACTAACACTAGCTAATAAATGGTAAGCTAAAAATAGATCAGATCCCATTTAAAATGTATATGGACTGGTACTTATATAACACTCTTCTACTCTAACTGTGAACTCAAAGCACTTTCTTACTACAAGCCTCAGCGTATTGCACACACTTCCATAGAAGTCCTCTTTTACCTATCATGTTAGCACCTTGTCTAACATTTTAAGTACACACTAATCAGGGGCAACTTGGCCAAAGTTTCTTTGAAGGCCATCTTAAGAAAGGAGCCCAGTAGTTATGTTCCAATCCATAAAAACTCTACATTGGCGAGGAATTAAACCCAGGCCCCCTGTGTGGCAGGTGAGAATTCTTCCATTGTGCCCAAATGAACACAAATAAACATGAGAAAAGCTGTGTGGGCGAATCATATGAAAAAAAAAGGATCAAAAGAAAAATCACCAAATTCGGTAGGATTAATCCTGTGTGTCGATTTTAATCCTTTTAAAGCAGAAATACACATTCCCAGAGGAGCAAACAATGCCCTCAGTGACACTGGCGTTAAAACAGGAACCTTAAATTTAAATTTAGGGACAACTGCCTCTTCAAGTCCCTGTAGAAATTCCTCCAGGCAGCTTTCATTTACTTCACCCGTCTCTCCTCGGCTTGGAGTCTTGTTAAACATTAACCTAAAAGCACAAAAAAGCTCTCCAGACAGATGGAGCAAACAAAGAAAGAGGCCATCAGGTCCAGCCCAACTTGTTGTCTCTGACAACAGAACATACTTTGGAGTTGAGGGTTGGCAGGGAGTGGAAGAGGAGCGTCTTTCCAAACCAGCAGATTTTCGATGAAAAGATGTTACATGATGCGCATTCTTGCTGCTACAAGTAATATTTCACAAGGTGAATTTATGAGTCAGGACACTGTGTCTTTTTGCTGAACTTTTGGTGGAAATCGTGTATTTCGCTTATGCAGGGTTTCACTTGACACCTGAACGAAAGAAGGGAAATAAGCAGAGACAGTAAAGAAGGTCAAATAGTTGGCCAATCAAGTGGATAGTTCGCAGCTATGCAGACCAAGCTTTACAATGCAGACTTGTGGAAATGTATTTAAATGAAAGCGGCGATGGTGGACTGAGGAGGCATTCCCTGTACCCTGCAAGAGGTAAATTTGACATCCGGTTATAGAATATGATTACAAAAGGCCTAAGAAAGAGCAGGAGAAAGGAAATTTCAAACGAAACAATAACAAGGTGCTGGCGCCCGTTGCCATCAGATAGATCTAGTGTTGTTGGACTTGAGTTCCCCCTACGATGCTGCACTGTGCTCTCTCTGGATTTTCTTTGAGGAAAGCATTTCTTTCCTAAAAGGGGCAAAAGTCAGATGTTCAGATGAGATGTTCACTAAAAGTCTGGGCAGGCACAGACACACACATGAATACACAAGCTATAGCAGTACG